ACTATTCAGTCTTAAAAGAGATCCTGTCATTTGTGACAACATGGATGAACCTGAAGAACATTATGTGAATTAGCCAGGCATGGAGAGACAAATACTGCATGATTTCACTCATATATGTGGGATCTAAAAACGTTGAACTCATAGAAACTGACAGTAATAAGGTGGTTGCCAGAGGCTGGTGGGTAGGGAGACTTCGGGGGATGTTGGTTAACAAATCTCTGTTAGACAGCAGGAACAAGTTCAAGAGATCTAGTCTACATCATGGTGACTAGTTAGTAACAATCTATTACATACTTGAAAATGCTGAGAGTAGATCTGAAGTGTTCTCACCACAAAAAAATAATGTAAGGTAACACACGTTAATTAGCTTGATTTAGTCATTCCACAATGTATGCATATCAAAACATTATGTTGTATACCATAAATGTATACAATTTTTACTTGTCAATTAACAAAAAGCGTTGCCTAGCCTGGGCAACATAGCAAAACCCCATCTCTACAAGAAATACAAAAATTAGCCAGGCATGGTGATAGGCACTTGTAATACCAGCTACTGGGGAGGCTGAGGTGGGAGGATGGCTTGAACACAGAAGGCGGAGGTTGCAGTGGGCAAGACTGCACCACTGCACTCCAGCTTGGGCCACAGAGCAAGACCCTATATCAAAAAAAAAAAAAAGAGAGAGAGAGAAAAAAAACGCTGCAGACAGAACCACAGACACTGACATAGAAAATAATCTACACACAAAAAAGCAGGTTTAGAACAGTGGGCAAGTACCATCCTGTTTATGTCAACAAAACACACAGTCATTGAATGAGAACACCAATTGTGGGGGCATCATATTCTACCTGACATTTACTGTTTACATTCATTACGCCAAGTGTGTATTACCTTTATAATCAATGAAAACAGTAACAGTGTGATTTGGGATTGGGAGGAGGAATCATTCTCCTTCTAAACATCTTAACATAGAAGAGCAGCTCAGATCCCTGCTACAAGAAAACACTCTTTTCACCAGCAGAATTCCAGGGCCACATCTCTCCTGCTCTACTAAGAGGAGCTTAATACGCACACACAAAAGTGGAAACTGTTTTGGGTCTGGAGTTTGTTTTTCACTCATATAGACTGAAGAAAGGAAACACCAAGCGGAAGGAGGAGCTGCCAGGAGAAATACAGTATTTTCTGCTGACTAGATTGTCTCCCTCAAAGCAGAGATTAGTTATCTTGATTACTTCAAACTTTCCAAAGAGAAGTTATACAAGGAAGCAGTCCACTTGTGACCAAAATCAATAACGATAGAACTTTCTTGTTCCTCTGAGGGAAGGCAGCGATGAGATGTGTTATGGCTAATTTTGGAAACAAGATCCCATGTCAACTAAATGGGTTTAGGTGAAATTCAATAAAAAGTACAGAACCTGAAAACAACTATGTGCAGTGTGACTAAACCACTGATTTTTGTAATTGTATCTTTCACGATCATCTTACTTAAAATGTCCACAACTGAAAGTGAGATTTATTTGCATTTTGATTTATACTAAACAGTGAACAGCAGGCAACTCCTTAGACTATTTTGCAAATGAATATTCTATCTGTTGTAGAAAACACTTTCACATACACAAACTTATTTATTGCTTAATGTTGGGACATTAGCCTCTTGTCCCTT